CTAATCAAACACAAACCTAGCCTTTGATGGTAGTTTATTAAATTCATTTTTGAACAAAGATACACATTCCTTCCTTGAAATCAACGTCGTCACGCCATTTTCACCCTGCTGGCAGTGCCGCACCCTGTATAAAGTTTGTAAATATGTTCAATTGTTAATATTTTAATAGGTTTAGTATTGTAAATACGTTAAATGCGTTGCTTGTTACGAATAAAAGGCGTTAAATCATGAAATGTAACAGTGGCGTATACATGTATAATTGTTGGGAAGATGAGCACATCGAATATTACCATCGCGTTCAAATATCACGGTTACAAATAACATTGGAAGAAGGACATGTAAATATCGCGCATTTAGGTTAAACCTTTATTTTGCTATTTCTTCTCCATGTACGCTCCGAATACCGAAGCCGTAACTCGAATAGCAGCGTGATTCGTCCGCGCACGCTGTCGCTAGGACGAATCGAGCGGTTTGGTGGGCGCGAGGAGTGAGACGCGGTACAACTCGTCAACACCAAAATTCTTGCGTGTACCGAGTCGCGAAATCTTGAAGACTTTTTCTATAAACTGGCGACGATCACGTGGTTCTAAGATCCTTTGTCTCCAAAGCTTCTAGAACGTTCCATCGAGTTTACGTGGTCGAGGAAGGCACGAGCCTTCTCACTTCTCATCGTACAGTCGCGAAAGCGTGGTATTAGTCCGTGGAAATAAGTTAGAGCAGAGTTGCCGTATCAAAGTAAATTCATTTGTGGAAAGTGAGTGATAGGCAAGGACTCGTATTCCTCGATAAAATTATTTTATTTTAATTTATTTAAAGTATTTTAGATTTAGATTTTCTTTTTCCTTTTCGTAAATAGTAATTTCGCTTTTGATTACGTAAATATTAATTCTTTCACGTATGTGTTTTCCTTCAACAACAGGGCGATTCGAAGAACGCACAAAGTCGAGATCAGCGTTACTCGATTTATATTGTAAAGAGATTTAGTGGTGAGTTGATTTTTCCTTCCAATCAATATTCTTTGTATAAATATTTATAAATGTATTTTATTGTGACCACTCGGAATATCAAAAAATGATATTTCATTTCCGGGGAATCCCTCATTGATTTTCTCGGGTGGTATTTCTATTCATATTTCCTAAAATATTATTCCGACAATTTTATTGTGTTCTTTATTATATGAAACTACAATTTTATTGTGTTCTTTATTATATGAAACTATAATTTTATTGTGTTCTTTATTATATGAAACCACAATTTCTGGTTTCTGGAATATCAATAAATGATATATTTCATTTCCAGGGCAACCCTATCTGATATTCCAGGAACAAATATATATGTATTTTTTTTCTTTTTCATTGTTTTTCTTTATTAAATGCATAACTGAATTTTTGACGTTTTTATATGTATATTTTCTGTATGAGATTATAAGGAAGGAAAGTGTGTATATTAAATCTTGTCGACCAAACGTACATTTGGTTCAAATCACATAAATCATTGTATTATTATTATCAATACCACAAAAATATTAATTGAATAAATATTACAGTGGCATGTTAAGAATAGAACATTTTTATAGTTGAATTAACCGCTCACATCCTATTGAAATCCCAAATCTTCAAATAAATAAAGGACATAGAAATTCACATACGAGCCAGGGCCCGTACGGGACTGCTATGACAAAGACCTGACCTTGCCGATAGGCAAGTAAAATATATATAATAATAATATTTGAAAATTATTTAAGCTGTGACGCAGGAATCTGTGTCCCACGTCACACCTCATTTCACTGGAAATAGTGAATCGTTAATGTAATGTCTATAATTGAAATGAGAATCATTACAAAAATATTTTGTTAAATGTGTACAAATAGTTTTGGTATAATTTCAACGTCGTTGTTTTTTTTGCAGATTCCTCTGCTGGCTCGACTTATCCTATGAAATCAAAGATTATTGGTAGTGTGTAATGTTGAGCATAGGCACAACTTTTATTATATATTATAATGATCGGGATGAAAAATGCAAAGCTGTCAAATTATAATTGGTTAAGAATGTATGCAGAGAAATTTTCGTGTGCACAGATTTAAACATGTGTAAACCGCCGCATAAACACGTATTCAAAACAGTTACACTTCCCTTTGTTATTATCGTTTAACGGCCCATTTGTCAAAAACATACATACCAAAACCCTTTCTCCATAAATTTTAGACCAATTCTCATTTGATAATCTTGTATTTTCTTTCTAGATCAGTGTCATTCATATTTTATATTATAGATATAGTATTAGCAGTAATTTAATTGCGTCTGTGAATGTATCAAAACATACGTAACCTCACTTTTTTATTAAAACTTTACGACTATATTTAGCGGGACACGAGAGTTTCTGCAAAATGATTTGTACATGAATAATATATTGAATAACATGAATCAAATAATGTATAATAAAGCTTAATAAAGTGACCTTTAGTATTTCATCGTACTTCCGATTAATTTGAAATTTGTTATAATTATTAGAGCACATTGTTTGGTCTAACTTATCAATAATTGTATAGTTTTAAAGTGTGTACGCTCAATTTTAAGAATAAAACATATTACAGGTAAATTATGAAGATATTTGTAGTACTGAATATAATATATATTTTCAAGTGTTTAATTGGTAAAAAAGGAGTGTAACAATACCAGAAAACCGCGATCGAAATTTCTCGACCCTCGGTAGGCGCGCGGGGTCGGGCGAGCGGGGAACGTTCGCGAACGCTCGCGAACGCACCCGCATAGTAACGCGGCTTGTTGATTGACTGCGGTCTGTTAGCAACGATCGGGTATAAGAATCGCTCTCGCGGTAGCGGACGCGGCATTCATTGCTGCACTAATAGGAGAGAACGAGGTAACTTTTCGACAAATGTCTACGGACATATGAGGGGAGTAGACTGGACATCGGAGCAGTGGATATAGAGGAGATACGTGATGATGAGGCAACGAACACCACTCCGGAGGAGAAGAAGAAGATAACAAGACTCCTGGAAGACAACATCGACCTGTTCCAAACAACAGGGTTACCCACAGCAGAAGCAATCCATCGCGTAGAGACTGGTGATCATGCTCCAATTGCAGTCCCCCCATATCGCATTCCACCTGCGAAGCGAGACCAACTTCGAAAAGAGATCCAGAAGATGTTGGAAGGAGACATCATAGAAGAGTGCGTATCACCCTGGGCCGCACCCATTGTTCTAGTACCAAAGAAGGATGGCAGTATACGAGTTTGTATCGACTATTGCAAACTCAACGCTGTTACAGTCACTGATTCTTATCCTCTGCCTCGAATCGATGACTTACTCCATTTGGCAAAGAAACCTGGCTGTATGTCGACCCTGGATCTACAATCTGGCTACTGACAAATTGGCGTACGAGAAGAAGACCGACATAAAACAACATTCACAACACCGTTTGGAATCTTTCGTTTCAAACGGATGCCCTTCGGTTTAAAAAATGCACCAGCCACTTTTCAACGACTCATGGACCGAATGAAAGCAGGATTGGGAACACGCAACGCACTCGTCTACTTGGACGATTTGCTGATACTTTCTCTAAACTTCAAAGAACACCTGGAAGCCCTGAAGGCTGTTTTCGGCAGACTACGACAGTTTGGCCTACGCATGAATCGACAGAAATGTCGTTTCTGCTGTCCAAAAATCAAATACCTCGGACACATTCTCACACCTGAAGGAATACTTTTTGATTCGGAGAAGGTCAAGGCAATCCGAGATATCCAAGCACCGAAAAATCTGAAGCAGCTGATCTCATTTTTGCAAACCTGTTCCTGGTATAGGCGATTCGTGCCGAATTTCGCCGCTAAAACTCAACCATTGACCAAGCTAACAAAGAAGAAGGCAACGTGGGAATGGACTTCTAGTCAACAGGAAGCGTTCGATCATCTGAAGGAGGCTCTCACAACACCACCAATTCTGCAGTGCTCCGATGAAACACAACCCTACATTATTCGTACGAACGCAAGCAATTACGCTATAAGGGCAGTATTGCTGCAAGGAGAGAAAGAAACTGAACATCCGATAGAATACGCAAGCAGACTACTAACTCCTGCCGAACGAAATTATTCAACCACAGAGCGAGAAGCATTAGCTGTCGTATGGGCTGTAGAAAAATTCAGAGGATACATCGAAGGAGCAGAAGTAACAATTGCCACGGATCATCACCTTTAAAGTGGCTTATGTCACTGAAATCACCAAGCGGACGATTGGCTCGATGGGCTCTTCTACTACAACCATACTATCCAAAATTCAATATATCCCTGGAAGATGCAATGTGTTTGCTGACATGCTGTCAAGATTGCCGACCGAACCATGGAACGTAGAACACAGAGCCGACATCGCTGAAGTCGTAGTGGATCTTCCTCATCGGGGACCAGCGACAACTCGTGAAGAACAATTAAAAGACGAAAGTTTAAAAACCATCATCGAGGCCCTGGAATCATCCACAACGGATGAAGAACTCGTGAGATGGTCATCACGAGGATATCTCACCAACAACGGTGTCCTGTATCGCTATGTACCCAACGTCGATTCGGAAGAAGCGCAGTTGGTAGTTCCTACTCACGAAAGGAAGGATATTCTGCACGCATACCACGACGATGCTACAGCAGGCCACTATGGAGCACAGCAAACCCTACATCGGATTGCAAGACGATATTTCTGGCCAGGGATGTGTCGAGATATTGCAGACTACGTCCGATCCTGTGTTGAGTGTCAACGGTATAAAGCCAGCAATCTGAAACCTGCTGGATTACTGCAAACACCTGTTATGCAGCAAAGATTCGAAGTACTATCCATTGACCTATTCGGACCATTACCAGTCACGAAAAGGAGGAATCGCTAGATATTCATCATAGAAGACGTCGCTTCACGATGGATAGAATTATTCCCATTAAAACAAGCCACGGCAGAAGCATGTGCAGAAGTATTAATTAACGAAATCATGCTACGATTTGGGATGCCTCGACGAATCATAAGCGACAATGGAACTCAATTCATCAGTGGAATCATGCAGCAAGTTACCCACTGTTTTGGTATCCAACAGTGCTTCACACCAGTCTACCATCCAGAAGCCAATCCAGTGGAACGAAAAAACCGAGACATGAAAGCGCAATTAGGCATCTACGTTGGAACAGACCACACGAACTGGGACGACAAGCTGCCGACCATCAGATTTGCCATCAATACCTCCAGATGTGGAACCACGGGATACTCAGCAGCTTATCTCACATTCGGAAGAGAGCTGAGGACACCGGACGACACTAACCGTGATCTAAGGGCTATAATCCAAGCAGAAAACTTTTTACCCGAAATAACACCGATATTGCTAACACTTGCTGACACGATGCAGATGGCACAGGAAAATCAAGAAGGAGCACAGGACCAGAGAAAGGCATACGCAGATAAACATCGACGACCAAACCCTGGATACCAGAAAGGCGATTTAGTTTGGGCCAACACCCATCCCGTCAGCCGACGAGAACAACGATTCACCTCCAAGCTTGCACCGAAAAGAGATGGGCCTTACGTCATCAAACGCCAAGTTGGATCCAATAGCTACAAAATCCAGAGCCGAGATCCAGAGCCAGTTTCTCTTGGAGTATACCATGCATCCGCTTTAACAACCTACGTCGGCGGACCATCAGAGGCACCAGTTCCAGTCGCAACGATCCGCAGGCGCGGACGCCCTCGCAAGGTCCACTCAACCGAGCATACACGAAAGACGGAGGAAGTGACCCCGCCGAGGCTCGAACAGATGCTGAACCACTCGTCGAGACGACTTCGAGTTCAGAGGGGGAGACTGTAACAATACCAGAAAACCGCGATCGAAATTTCTCGACCATCGGTAGGCGCGCGGGGTCGGGCGAGCGGGGAACGTTCGCGAACGCGCCCGTATAGTAACGCGGCTTGTTGATTGACTGCGGTCTGTTAGCAACGATCGGGTATAATTATTGCTCTCGCGGTAGCGGACGCGGCATTCTTTGCTGCACTCATAGGAGAGAACGAGGTAGTTATCACGGTCGCCTAATGAGTAAGGAGAGTACGAAGCCTAGCTTTCGGACGCCTTTAGCAGCTCAGGAGAGAACGGCTGGAATTACCGCCGGTCGCCTGATTAACGGGAGAGTACGGGGACTCTTCCTGGCCGCCCTGGAACGGAGAGAACGGCAGGATCTACCGCCGGTCGCCTTCCAGGGAGAGGACAGTGGAGTCACTCGGACGCCTGAGAGTGCTCAGGGAGCGTTTCTGCCCTTCCCCTCTGAGGTGGAGAGAACGGTCGGATTTACCACCGGTCGCCTCTCGGAGGAAGGAGGGTGGGGATCGTTTTCTGATTATTCGAGAATCAGGAGAGAACGGCTGGATTTACTGCCGGTCGCCTGTAAAAGAGGAGAGTACGGAAGCTCTTGCCTGACCGCCCTGGAACGGAGAGAACGGCTGGATTTACCGCCGGTCGCCTTCCAGGGAATGGACAGTAGAGTCACCCGGACGCCTCGACGCGATATACTTTTTTTGTTATTGTAAATTTCTGTTATTGTAAAATTGAGCCTAAAGCTTTGTTTTCCGAACAAACCTGTATTTCCTATTCCTCTCCCAGGAAAGCAATATGTACAATTGGTTAATAAATAAACCATTTCCTTTTTTCCTTAGAACCTATTTCCAAATTCCTCACCTGCGAACTTACATCCCTTACAGGAGTAATGAAATAGAGTAAATATTCCTTTATTTAAAAAATTCTGTTATTTATTTATCACACTTAGTATTATAAGATATACATAAAGTTCGATCCTTTTTTTTACAATTTAATACAACTTTTTTCGCTTTACCGCGACACAGCACCATTATTTTGAGATCGTTCTTACATATATTCTTTGGATGAGTGTGGAAAAACTGTTAAGATACAATATCGAAAAAAGTGATTGTACAGGGTGTATAAAAATTATATGTCACGACCACCATAGCAGGATTCTACTCCTCTAGATCGCTGAAAATCTGTTAAAAAAGTCGACCGCAAAATTGACATTGACTTTGAAAATCAAGGTCAAAATTGTTTTTCATCGTATGGTATAGCTCTCATCGCGAGGGACAAAAGTCTGAAAGGAACCATGGGTTTCAAGTCAACTGTTCTCATGAAAAACGCTTCAAATAATGCTTCAAATCTTTCGCCTTTGCAACCGAATGATAAGGAAGGTAAGCAGTTTCATTTTTATCGTTTTCTATGATGCTCATTACGTATGCCTATTAGAGACCCGAAATGTTGTAAACTCCACTATGGAGGAACTTACTGGAGTTGTAGGTAAGGAATGTAACGTGAATTCAAAATGAGCGTACACTATTTGATATTTTGTTGGTATTGTAAGTACTGCGTTTGAGATGTTAACATGAAAACGTTTGCAGATAATGTTATATCTATTCCGTCGTTTAACAATGCTTCAAATCTTTCGCCTTCGCAAGCGGATCATGAGCAAGGTAAGCAATTTTGAATTCGAATCCGACATCAGTCCTTCATCCTTAACTTTTATATAATCAGTTTTTATTTTACTATAAAAATCAACATTATTCCGTGTTTTAGATCATAATAGAATCGATACCGACAATGAAGCAAGTGACGATGAAAATGATCCTACCTACGAAATGTCTGAGGAATCTGAAAGTAGTGCTGATGAACCAAACAACGATAGATCATAGCAGACGTTGGCTAATAGTGTCAATACTACAGATAGCAGTTTTCATAACTCCATGACTGCATGTAACGATGAGAATATGATAGTGAATTGTTCTGAATTAAAGGGCAGAAATAAAAAAAAATTTTGTTTATACTGCAAAACACTCCAGTCAAAAATTGCTAGACATTTAGAGCTAGTTCACAAAAATGAAGAAGATGTCAAAAAGTTCAGTTTACTTCCTAAAGGTAGTTTATAAATTTCATGATCATGTTTGTGTTGTTTGCGTTCATATACTTACATTAATATCGGCACAATATTTTCAGATACCTCAGAACGAAAAAAAATAATAGAAATAATACGGAAGAATGGGAATTTCCTATATAATACAAATCCGATGTTAAACCAAGGTAATCTAATAGTATGTCGCAGGCCATCAAAACATAAAAGTAAGGATGCAACTCACTTTATAAGTTGTCCCAAATGTAAAGGTTTCTTTACGAAAAATAACATCCGACATCGTTTTCGGGATTGTTATAAAACGAACATTGGTCGACAAATAAAAATACTTGGCAGAAAGGTCCAAGCAAGGATACACGCATGTGCTGATGACAGACTAAGAAATGTTGTCTTCCCTGTATTAAGAGACGACGGTATAACTAGAGCAATAAGATACTGTTACATCCGGCCCTGCCGGTGTCCCTTTTCATCGACCTCGCATTGCGAATAGTCAAGATCAGATACTTTCAGGAATGCGCTTGACATACGATTCGGAAACCGTTTCTCGGGAACCGAATCGTGCGATCTGCGAATCAGCGAAATAGGCGTCAGCACTTAACACCAGCACATCCGCTGAACTTGGGACCCCTCCCGATTTCAACGGATGCCGAAGCGAAGGTTCTCGAACGCGGCTCGTGCCATGCGAGGATCAGCTAATATATAAACCCGTGGACACGCCCCACGGCGCGCTCTTTTTTTATTCCGCTGTCAGTACGTTCTCATCGTGGTGATTACCGAAATCTTGTAGTCGCGGACAGGTTAACTTCACGCTTTGTCATTACCTACGAAAGTCCGACGTATAATCGGTTAAGATCACATTGAACCTTTATCGTCAATCGAACACGCATACAGCGTCGCAGTTTGGTCGTCAAATACTAAATTATGGTAGTCACGGATAGAGTAATCGTACGCGCGCCGCGTCGTTATCGAGGAAAGTCCGTTGTTAATTAGTAGAGACCCGTGTCGCGAGTGATAGTTGCCGACAAACAGATCCTTGCAACAGCACTGCCCTGGGACCACAACAGATAGCTGGTACAACCAAACTGTAAGACCGACAAGTGGTAACGTACCTACATAATTGTATACTTGATTTCCCAAAACCGATATTGTAATATAAACTCGTTATTTTGTAACAATACATATTTATTTATATATTTAAATGCTAAACCTTGAAAACAATCATTGCAATCCCGAATTGCTCTTTCCCGTTAGCGAATACAGTTAAGGTGAGCTTTAGCTCTTTAATTGAAGACGAAGATCCCAAGAAAGAGTCACAGATAAGCTGGGACGTAACAATACGATGAATTGATAATACTCTATGGTAACAAATTATGCAAGAAATATCGAGATCAGCGACACCATGATATGATTCGAGCAATTTTAAGATTATTGAGTTGTTTTTTGACAACATTAAGAAAATATGACAAAAGTGTAACCGATTTTTATTTAAACTTGTTAAACTCTAGTTAAACTTGTGTGAACAAGATGTTACTGAACTAGCCAATTTTATGGGCCATGATAAAAGCATCCACAAGTCCCATTATGGACAACCAATTCCAGAATTAGAGATACCTCGTATAGCAAATTTATTACAACTAGCAACGAATATAAACAATGAACATGAAACATCTGTTCATAATGAAGCAAGTACAAGCAGTAATATAATACCAGCAAATACAGCAGAAGAACAGGCGTGCCTACCCAGTGATTCGGATGATACGAATAAAAATGGATCAACTTCAAAAAATAAAAAACAGAAAAAACGACGCAGCAGTAAGTAAATTTGAAATTATTTAGTAATAACACAAATATGCAAAATAATAGTGTAAGAAGTAGATATGTGAAAATGATTTGTATTATATATATTTTTGGTCCTTTTCATAGCATCTCCATTTGGCACCACGAAACGAAGACGTTGGACAATAGAAGAACAAACTGCATTATTAACTCGATTCAAGAAGGAAGTACAGAACTCACGCCTTCCATCGGGAATTGATATTACTGATTGCATACAGAGAGATCCGAGACTGTCACGCCGTTCAGTGCCACAAATCAGATCATGGTTACACAACATTATTCGTGGGAAAGTAAAGAAACCACTACAATGAAGCATATTACTTTATAATGCTGTTATTTGTAACGATATTGTCTCGATGTAATCTCGAAACGAAGTGATCTTAAATTTTATCATAACTTGCAATAGCTCTTTCTACAAATACGAAAAGTTGTCGATAAAAGTATGTTTGGCAACTAGAAAAATTGGCACACTCTTCAAAACAGAATACTTGTTTCAATATTGCACCAATTGAGTAAGTTGATTTGTTTTTGTTGTTTAAATATTTTGTATAGTGTCGTATAGTGTTCTTCGTAAAGAAAACCTTCACACTTAGGACAACTTGTAAAGTGTGTTGCATTCCTAATTTTGTGGTTTGGCAGTGTGCGACATACGTACTGATGGAAGGATTATTTTATTAGATTATGTACTTCTGCTGTTTTAAAAGAATTCAATTTCTCAAAGTCGTGAATAAGAAAATGAAGGACACTTTTGACAACATTTTTATCTGAACTTTTAATGAAAATGTAATATGCACGTTTTGTAGATTTAAGTAAGTTTTATGTTTGCTGAAAAATTCGTTCGAATTGGTCAACGTATTTAGTCGCTGTTCACTTCTAAGTTCGTTGACCAATCTGAATGAAATTTTCAATATGCATATGTAACTTCTTAAATACACAAAATGAATATTATTTAAATATACGAAAGTTACATTTTAGATTCATATTAAAGGTTCAGATAAAAAGGTTAAGTGACCATCATTTGATTATTCTCGTTTCTGTCAAATTGTAATTTTTTCTTCTAGCCTCTAGAAGCAAATCAAGTCACTTGATGCAATGTTAAGGAAGGCATTCTGTTTTAAAGAGTGCCCAATCTTTTTTATAAGCCTCATATACGGTGTCCCAGATTGAGTGTTACAACTGGAAATGGGGGAGTAACTGAGACGATTTTGAACCACAGTTTCCTTTGCAAAAATCTCGGATGGTGCTTCGTTTATCATTAGTAATTCAAAAACGAAGCAGCATCTGACATTTTTGTAAAGGAAATTGTGGTTCAGAATCATTTCAGCTACCCCCCATTTCCGTTTCTTACGCTAATTATGGGACACCCTATATACTTAGGAGTAGAATCGTTGTCTCTGGGTGACACCTTTGTTTTTTTTAATGTGTTCTTCCTTTAAATTTATTGTGCGGGCAAGCGTGATATTTAAAATGTTTAAATCAGGATTCCGGGTTTCCGCATAGTGTTGTAGTTTACAACATTTTCGGTCTATAAAAGATACGAAGATTTCTCTGAAAATAACATTACAAAGAGATTTTATGCAATAGGCATCACGAATAACGATGGAAATGAAATTACTCTTCATCCAATTGCAAAGCGAAAGATCTGAAGCATTATTAGATTATCTAGGAACGTTTTCAGGTCAACATTTTAAACACAGTACTTCCAAGAATATCAAATAGTATAAGCTCATTCTGAATGCACATAGCATGTCTTATTTACATCTCCGGTTGATTCCTCAAGTACAATTTTTTGAAAAAAATGTCGGATGGGGCATCGTTTTTGAATTATTAACGGAAAACACTGACAAATCAGAACATCTACCCAACTGCGAAGTCAACATCCATTGCTAAACTCGCGTTCTAAGCGCAGTATGCTTGCTTATGTTTTTCGTTAATAATTTGAAAACGAAGTCCCATCTGACATTTTTTCGAAGTCATAACATTTATTTGTTTCTTACACTTAAGTATTTTGATTTTTTATATATATATATTTTTTATATTTTTTATAATTGCTGAATGGTTTGTGTCCTACAAATGTTACATAATTTATGAGATACTTTAAATTTACATATGATGGAACTCTATTTTTAAGTCAAAATATGTTGTACAGGGTACATGTACGGGGTGTATAAAAATTATATGTCACGACCACCATAGCGGGATTCTACTCCTCTAGATCGCTGAAGATCTGTTAAAAAAGTCGACCGCAAAATTGACATTGACTTTGAAAATCAAGGTCAAAATTGTTTCTCATCGTATGGTATAGCTCTCATCGCGAGGGACAAAAGTCTCAAAGGAACCATGGGTCTCAAGTCAACCGTTCTCATGAAAAACGATGTTCAAGTTTCGATGATTTTTAAACAGTTTATTTATGATGTTCTTATAGTTTACAGTGAAGTATAGAATTAATAACGTGCTGTTGACGAAGCAGGTGGAAATTATTCATTAACTCAAGAAATATATCGCTATAGAATGAGAAGTAGTGGAAAATCGCTGTGTGCATAGAAATGCCAGATTAATGGAATTTTCAGCAGCTAGTGCTTCAGCAACTAGTACTTCCACCAAATGACCATGTTGTTTGCTGAAGTTGTTGCTGTATAGAAAAATGACGTAACATAATTTCTTGATCACTAAATTGTTGATCAAGCCACTGAAAATCCCATCGATCTGACACTTCTGTTGCACGCAGTGGTCTTCTATTATTGCTCACATTATTGCGATATATTTCCCGAGCTAAAGAATAATTTCCCCCTGCTTCGTCAATAGTGCGAAGCATGTTTCAAATATTCCGATGCCGAACCGTTTCTTTATAATATCAACAAGACACTAAGAGACAGAGCATTATTGTGGTGTTAACGTGCGATAGTAATCGAATGTGCTCCTACTACCTATTTATTTTGGAAACATGCGAATATAAACACACTGTAAAAGTAAAATTAAACTAGGAATTGAATAGAATTTTAACATCGTTTTTTGTGAGAACGGATGACTTGAGACCCATGGTTCCTTTGAGACTTTTGTCCCTCGCGATGAGAGCTATACCATACGATGTGTTACGTATACAGAAACTCTCCGTTTTTAGAAGCTCGCGTTTATTAATCTTATTTTATCTACCCTTCTGGAATTTGGAGCTCGGTCTCACTGGAGTGCATCCTGCAGCTGCATCCTCTTAATATCATCTTTGACTCGCGTTGCGTGGGATAGTTTCTAATCTACCCTTTTCCCAGGGCACACAGCTGCCGACCTCAGAGCAACGAAAATCCTAACCGTCAAATTTCCTAATATGGAAATCACTGACAGTTCCCCACCAACATTTAGGGGTATATAAACCCACGATTTTCGTTGCTCGGGGGCTAGTACGAAAGAGTTACTCGTTAGAGACACATTGATCGTCTGTAGAGTAGTACTCTAGTGAGATCGGGCTTCAGTTCCTTTCAATCATCGTTACAATATAGATCCGCGAAGATGGTTTTAAAATCTATTACGGCCATAAAAATACTCTTGACCTCCGCATCGCCAGTGCGTCAACACCGAGCAACACTTAGGTAATTTTAACTTCATACACTAACCGCGACGACACGACACTGGACACTTGTAATTAGTATAGTTATTTTGAATATATACTCTTTGTGTAAACTTAAAAGTCTGTAAGATCAATCATCAAACCTTTATTTTGAAATCACGAATCCTAGCCAGTGTAACGATCCCACAACATAATAACTTTACCGCTCGAGTTATTATTCTATTAAATTAACAAGTTGCGAGGCTTTATTAACGACGCGTAGTATTCATTATTGATACGATTCAGTCATTGTGTACTCAACCCGAACTCCTAAACTTAACCTATCCTACGGTTACCCTTTACTGGAAGCTACCGATTCCTGCAACTATCTGACTTCACGTCAGAGTCG